AGTTTGGTTTCTTTCTGGGTAGTTTTAAGGTTTTCTATGTATCCTTGCCATTCTAAAAGAAGATCAAGTCTTCATTTATCTCTGGATTATTAGATGTATTTTACTTCTTCAGTTATATTTCTTCCAGTCTCTGTTCCCTTCTATAATTTCTTGTTGTATGTTGGAATTCTGGATCTATCTTCCATCTATCAAAATTTTTTTCTTACACTGTCAGCTGCTTTTCCTTTTCCAGTGCATTCTGGGACACACCCTGGATCTCACACTATTAGCACTTACATTTCATTGTTTATTCTGATAATATTTACATTTCTAAGGTATCTAGTCACATCTTTAAAAGTGCTTACAAATTGAAAACTGCAAGAGAAGCCTGTGATTAAATATCAGTTAAAGGTCTAGACATGCTTAGAATGACTGTTGTCAGTATAGAAATTCATTTGCCTCTCAAATCAACATAAAATATTCATGGGTACTTACTTCAACATTGACTGTGTGGTAATCTGAACTGATGGGTAACCAGATGTGACTGGCTTCAGAAAAACCAGCATTTGAGCTATTCTCCCACTGCATTGGTGACTTTGAGAGAAGGGTATTCTATGGCAAAAGAAAAAAGCAATGGTTATGAAGTTCTTTGGTCTTGATTAACTTTATAATTATTTAATTCCCTTTAGTTTTTAACTAGTGCTTATGTTTACTAGCATTCATGATGAAAAGGTAGTAAATTCACTACATGCACCAGTTTCGCACTTTTAATTGGAAAATACCAAATAACATCTTTAATACACGCTAGGAATCTTTGCTACTTTTCCCTAAAAATGAGTAATGTAGAATTTCAAAATGTGCTATTACCAACTAGGCTACTTCATTCTACCATGGTGCAAAGATGGTGAATTTAAGAACCCTGCCATGTACCAGTAAGCCTGAATTCTTTCCTGATGATTTGCCCTGACTGGTTACTGCTCATAAGTGTATACACTCAAAATCTAGGAGCTAAGACAGGAAAAGTTTCCCTGTCAGTATTAGGGGACTTTGATCTCATGCTATTGAAAACTGAACAGGCATATTTAAAGGTTCAAGATCAGTCACCTGCCCAGCAACAAAACTGTGATATCTACAACCTCAAACAAAAAATGAAAAGAACTTAACTCTGAGGCTGTGCAGCATTTGACAGCATAAAAGGAAGAATTTATGCAATGGTCACCCAAGATCTAGCAAGACAAAAAAGAACTAAAGAAATAAGTGTTTCTAACTCTCCATGTTTCAAGTAAAAGGCAATGAATAATATTCAGAACTAAGCCATTGGTTCTCAAACTTTAGTGTGCCTAAGAATCAGCTGGAAAATATCTTTGAAATGCAGATTCCTGGGCTCTATCCATGATATTCAGTTGTGTGGCTCAGAGAGCAGACTTTTTTTTTTTTTTGGCCGGGGCTGGGTTTGAACCAGCCACCTCTGGCATATGGGGCTGGCACCCTACCCTTCTGAGCCACAGGCGCCACCCCAGAGAGCAGCAGTTTTTAAACAAAGCTCCCAACCCACCAAGAAAGCCGGAAGAAAATGAAAAAAACCATGATGTTCAGCAATAGAATAGAGATAATAAAGTCTCAGATTAAGCAAAAACACAAATGCATGGTTTTATAGCTGTGGTACATGATTAAGTTGTATTAAACTTACCATATCATAGCTTTCATTGAGATTTGGGGCTAAAATATTTTCCATTCCTAGTTCTTCACCATAGTAAGTTATGGGAGTTCCGGGGAGTGTGAAAAGCAGCATGTTCATCACGTTGACATATTCTCTCCCAAAACGAGAAGTCAGCCGGGAACTGTCTGGTCCCCCAATCTGAAAGGCAGATATTTTTAAGAATATAGCCCTTTACAGTTTTCTGAAAAAATAATGGCCAATAACTTCCCAAATTGAATGAAAAATAGTTCTGCACATCTATGAACCTCAGTAGACTCCAAATAGAAGAAAATTCTAAAAACCCACATCTAGATGGGTCAAACTGTCAAAAGATACAGAAAAAAAATCTTTAAAGGAACAAACTGGTGAATCACAGTAGATTCTCAGTATTAAGTCAGATGAGCAACTGACTTATCAGAAACCTTGGAGGCCAGAAGGCAATGGAATGACACATTCAAAGTGATGAAAGAAGAAACTCTGAACCAAGATTTCTATATCCAGCAAACTACTCTTCAATAAGGAAGGAGAAATAAGATTCCACTTTATGCCTGGTATGATGGGACAATTTTATAAAATGAAACAAAATGCCAAGTTTTGGTGAGGATGTGGAGAAATCAGAACCCTCATGTATTGCTAATGGGAATGTAAGGTGGAGGTGTCACTGTGGAAAGCAGTTTGGCAGCTCCTCAGAAACTTAAACATAGAACTACGTATGAATGAGCAATTCCACTCTGAGGTATATAGCCAAAAGAATTGAAAACAGAGGTTCAAACAGATACTTGTACAATAATATTCATGGCATTATTCCAGTAGCCAAAAGGAGGAAAACAACCCAAATGTCCAACAGCAGATGAATGGATAAACACAATGTGATATATTTGTCCAAGGAATGTTATTCAGCCATTACAAAGAATGAAGTTCTGGGCGGTGCCTGTGGCTCAAAGGAGTAGGGCACCAGCCCCATATGCCAGAGGTGGCAGGTTCAAACCCAGCCATGGCCAAAAACTGCAAAAAAAAAAAAAAAAGAATGAAGTTCTGAGACATACCATCATACATAGGAAACCTGAAAACATTAAGTAAAATAAGCTAGACATAAAAGGATATTGTACGATTCCACTTTTAACAAGCTAGCTAGAATAAGCAGATTATAGAAGCAGAAAACAAAATGGAGGATATCAGCTTATTGCTTAGTAGATACAGATTTTCTGTTCAAAATGATGAATTTCTGCAAATGAATAGTGGTAATGGTTGCACACACAGAGTTGTACTTAATGCCACTGAATTACACAATTTTTTTTTTCAGTTTTGGCTGGGGCAGGGCTTGAACCCACCATCCCCGGTATAATGGGGCCAGTGCCCTACTCTTTGAGCCACAGGCACCGCCTGAATTACACATTTAATGTTTGAAGTGGTACACTGTGTTTTGTATTCTTAAAACAATTTTTTAAAGCCATAAAAAGTTTCTCAGGAATTCATAATCAACAGAAATAAAACAGGTTCAGCAGTGTGGAAGGATATAGGATCAAATACACAATCTGTTGTATTTTTATATATTATTAATAATCCAAAAATAAAATTTAAACCAGCTGGGTATGGTGGCTTGGTCCTGTAATCCCAGTTTCTTGAAAGGCTGGGGCAGGAGCATCATTTGAGGCCTGGAGTTTGATAGCAGCCTGGACAACATGGTAAGACCCTGTCTCTAAATTATTTGGGCATATTAGCCCTAGCTACTGAGGAGGCTGAGGTGGGAGGAGGATTGGTTGAGCCCAGGATTTTGAGACCAACCTAGGTAATACAGTGAGACCTCCAACTCAAAAAAAAAAAGGAATTCTAGGTACAATGACATCAAAAGAATAAAATACTTAGAAATAAATTAAACCAAAAGTGCAAGACTTGTACACTGAAAAATACAAAATATCATAAAAAAAGTAAAGACCTAAATAAATGGAGATATATTCACGTTTGTGAATTAAAAGCCTTAAACTATTGGTAAGATGGCGTATCACTACCAAAAGTGATATGCAGATTCAGTGCAGTCCCCGTCAAAGACTACTGTTTCCCTTCATTGAACTGTCACAGAACTCTTGTTAAAAATCCATTTATCAGGGTGGTGCCTGTGGCTCAAAGGAGTAGGGCACTGGCCCCATATGCCAGAGGTGGTGGTTCAAACCCAGCCCTGGTCAAAAACTGCAAAAAAAAAAAAAAAATTCATTTATCATAAATGTATTTCTAGACTCTCAGATCTGTTCATCTCAATATCTATTACTATGCCAGAAACACCCTAAATTGGTCACCGTAACTTTGTTAAAAGTTTTGAAATGGGGAAATGTATAAGTCCTCTAACTTTGTTATTTTTTCAAGATTGTTTTAGCTCTTATGGGTCCCCTACTTTTTCTTAGATATATTTTAATCCTGTTTTTTATTGTTAATGCCTCTCAGAATTTTCCTTGGATTTTAACAGGGACTGCATTGAATATGTTGTGCTGGGTATGAGGACTTACCATCCAGTTAGGCCATTTTCCTTCTGGCATGTTTTCCATCCAGGATGTGATAACCTCATACACTTTATTCCCAGAAAGTGTGTCTAGTGTGGTGAGGTAACTGTTGAAGGGAAAATCAGCTTCTTGGATAAATGGCAACCCATAGTACAACATGGTCCGGTCAATGCTCTCTGGGTAGGTTTTGATCCCCATGAACCTGTAAGAGTTGGCAGGCTTCAGTGTCAGCAGGGCCCATCTGAAGACTGGGAAGACGCTTCGCAACTGCTTAGATCTCATTTACGAGATGTGGGAGCTGGATGCACACCGTTAACCTCATAGGATTAGGGCTCTCTTGAAAGCACCATCAAGCCACATGGCTACGAAACATCAGAATGGGTCACTTGGACAATTTCTCATTGTAATAAACCCAAAGGCTCGCCTAATACTAGCTCATGCCTGAGAGTTGAGAAACACCTTTGGATCTCAATCATTATTGTTCTCTTCCTTCTAAACCTGATTAAAACTAAGTTTACAGGGCAGTACCTGTGGCTCAGTGAGTAGAGCACCAGCCCCATATACGGAGGGTGGTGGGTTTGAACCCAGCCCTGGCCAAACTGTGACAACAACAACAAAAAACTCAGTTTACATCCATGAAGACTTCCTTTAGCAATTCTCATCATTCCATTTAAAATTTAAAGTACAGTGTTTCCCTGAAAATAAGACCTACCCAAAAAATAAACCCCAGCAGGATTTCTATGCATTTGTTAAATATAAGCCCTACCCCAATAAGACCTAGTGATGGGC